TGCAGTGTGTGTGAGAAATATCTTATTAAATTGACAACTTTGTTTTTAAAAAAATAATTTTCAGTCTGCATTTTGCAAAAACTTGTGGCAAAATGAAGTCTATAAAAGACACACAATGCCTCTTAGAAAATACCTTGAAGTGTTTGCTTTCCCAAATGTGGTCATTTTGTCGGTGTTTCCATATTCTTGTTTTTTCCAGGACTTCCAAAAATGTGAAAGATAGTCAGGAAATTACATGTATAATTTATGCCCCTAGAATAGCCAAAGGTGCTCCTTGGATTTTGGGTCCCTTTATGTGTCTAAGTTGTGAAAAAAAAGTATAGAAGAATGTGTTTTGGGGTATAATTCTAAGTATGCCTATGATGTGTGTTAGCAATATCCTATTTGTTTAACAGAGACTGTTATTGCCATAAGCAAGTAGTGTACAGCAATAGGATACTTAGAATATGTCTCTGCACATATAATTTTTGTTACATATTTTTAGCAAAAGTCAACATCCAACTGCATTCCACATTGTATCTAATCAACGTTCCCAGAGGAGTAAAATATGAGAAACCACTTCACTTGTGTAGTATCAAAGCCAACACATTTACATACAGCATTTTGGTAGGTAAAGAAAAGGAAAAAATATCCATACATAACTAATCTGAAAGCTGCAAACATAAAAAAAAGAAGGAATATAACAAAACAAAACATTCCACAATGAATCACTACCCCTCACATGCCATCTGTCAGTAGTATCATCCAACACAACAGGCCAACACAAGGATCCTAATTATAAAGTGGACCAATGATAAGCCAACCTTATACAGTATACCTCCTAAGGGCAATCTGCCATCATTTATGATGAATCTACCCATCTAGAGAATATCTTTGTAAACTTTTTTGAGCACCCCAAAAATATCTTATTAATTGACAACTTTGTGTAAAAAAATACATTTTCATTTTCTTTCCTGCATTTTCCAAAAACTTGGGGTCCCTCTATGCATCTAGGCTGCAAAAAAGTCTCACATATGTGGTATCACCAAACATGGGAGATGTAGCAGAATGTGTTTTGGAGTGTAATTGTAAGTACGTCTATGCTGTGTGTGAGAAATAACTTGTTTTAATGGCAATGTTGTGAAAAAATAATACATTTTGTTTAATTTCTTCAGTTTTCAAAAAATTGTGACAACAAATTACAACTTGTGACTGCAAGTTACTACAACAAAAAAAATCCCCATGGCTCTTGCTGAATACCATAGACTATCTACTTTCCAAAAAAAGTGTCATTTTGTGGATATTTGTACTGTCATTAAATCTGGATTGATTAATTTTCGAAGATTTCACACAGACTAAATAATATAAACTGATTTGGGTTATTTTTACCAAGGAAATTTATCATAATACATTTTGTCCTAAATTTATGAAAAAAAAATAATTTAATTGAATTTTTTTTTTCAGTCCTCATGCACACTGGATGTTTTGATAACGCTGGTAACGTTAGCTGTGTAAAAGTCACATTCAGCTTTTTTTTTAGCATTATTGCATTGGTGTTTAGCGGTGTTGTGCTGTGTTTAGCTGCGTTTTTCCCCACGTTTTTTCCGCTTTTTTAGTGTTTTTTTACCCCCCAAATTTTTTTTCTGGTAAGAAAAAAGTCGAAAAAGGCCGGTGTGTGGCATTTTAGCATGTTTTGCCACGTTTTTCAGCATTTTTTAGCGTTAGAGCATTTTTACAGCTAAACAACTCCTTTAGAAACCCACTAATCCTGTTTTTTTTTTTTCCAGCCAAAAAATGTCCCAGCCAAAAAATGTTGATTACAGTCTATGTGTGCATGGACACATAGCATAACATGCTGGGGGGTTTACTAGCTGTAGAAAAATACATCAAAAGCCAAAAACAGCAGCTGTAAAAAACGTCAAGTGTGCACGAGGGCTCACAGAAACTAAGAAAAACATTTTTTTCCCCAAATTTTTGGTCTTTTTTTGTTTATATAGCAAACAATAAAAAAATAATTTTAGGTAAAATAGCAAGTTTGGTGGACTCATACCTTCACCTCTCTAAATCTCATTAAGATTCTAAATCCTGCTGGTAAAATGTTCTTTATCACAATAATGACCAATATGTTTGGCATAAATGGCTAAGAAACCAATTTTAATTTTTCCATCACATTTATTACAAAACTATAAAAAATACAAAGCAAACATTATAATGCAACTATTGTTGTTCCACAGGCTACTGGCCAGCACTTGTCTGCCACTGCCATGGAAAGGAGCTGTATGCAAAGTGCATTAAAAGTAAAGTGGGTTCTTGATTAGATAGAAATATGTCATTTGTGCTACTAGTGCCATTAAAATATCAGCTACTACCTAGAATGTTTCTTTTTCTTTTATTGAGCAGCTTGATATGCAATTATAAGAGTTTGAGATTCATACTTTGAATATCGCATTGAACTAGAAAGAAAAGGTCTGATAACTCCCGGGCATGCTATTGTGTTACCATGGAAACATAAGTGCAGTACATTGCTTGTAACAGAAAAACAAACAACATTGCAGAGAGTGTGTTAGAATTTAGCCTTTTCCTGTTAAAAACGATTGCAGTGATCAAATGGAAACAAAAATATGGCTATAGATATGTTAAGTTGAAAAATAAAACATTTTATTTCCTTATTTAACTTATTAGCATAATTAATTTGTTCTATTATAATAACCCATACCCAGGAGGTCATGCTCTTTGTGCTTGTGTAGAAAATGCTCAGTTCATTTATGTTTTCTGGGGATTTTGGCAAATAGGTTGAAGTGTAACTAAACCCAAAGCCAAAAATGTAATGTATTGTAGCTTACCAATCATGAATCAATGGATCAATCAATGGATGTGGTGGTGTTATTTTTCTTTTCAAGCTTTCAATCTTTTATTTTCATTTGATAATCAGGCAGTAACACACCTCCTGTCCAAGGATGGCTACATTCACTCCTTCACTGTATCTATGGAGGTGCAACATAGCCACCCTTGGACAGCGGCATTGTCAACCTGTGTAGAAGGTAGTGTTGGATTTAGATGAATTTTATATAAGTGGCTAACAATTTAATGCTGAACTCCAGCTAACACTTATTAAGCAGTTACGGCAATGTTTTTTTTTTTTTTTTTTTCTGAATAAAGATATGACATAAATGAATAAAAGATGACCATTGTATACACTCCTATCAGTGGTAAATGGCTTGTCTCAACCCTCTAACTGACACTTTTACAGAACAGCTTGGTCTGTTAAAGGATGCTGAAAAACAGATTTACTGGCTCGATCACCAGGTAATAAATTGTGTCACGGGGGAATCAGAAATACAAAGACTACTGTGTTAATGCTATAAGCAGGGTTATTAATTCCGTCATTTTTTTGCACGGTCTTTGTCACTGTATGGGAGATTTTCCCTGGTGACCACTGGCACATGAATAGAGGGGAATCCCTTAAATGGAGACATTTATCTCTAAGAGAAGATTTCCTCTTGTTGTGTGTTGTGTTCGTGGGACAGGAAGTTAAAAGAATCTATGAATGGATCTATGAATGGGGGATGGGCCAACAATTGATTGGTCTGCCTCCTTCATTCATAAATCATGTTTCATTCATAGAGGCTGTAGTAATGTCTTCTAAGAATGGAGAAGCTGGGCAGAAAGAGTGGGCTTTGTCAGGCACTCTTAATTATGGTAGCTGCTGGGGGGGTGGGGGTCGGAGGAGCATAATTTTGGTGAAAGGAGTACACGGCAGCACAAGGTGCACATTTCACTGAAAGTAAGTAATGTCCCTTGTACTCATTTTTTTTGTTTGTTTTAGATAAATTTAAGCTTTAAATAAATTTGGATTGATCATGCGCTGCTTTTTTTTTACATGCACTGAAATGTTCTGCATTTTAATTAAATGTAACTAGGTATATTGCCTCTCCTGTTTAATCAAGTGATTTGTGCAGTGCCCAGTTGGTTGCTTTTTTTCCCTTTTCTAATTATTGTCACAATGTTCCTGGTGTACTCAGGCCTTTGTATGGGCAGTGAAGCATTCATTCATACTGTAAAAGATTCCTATTACTACAGATATAATATAAACTGAAAAGGATTAATAGTAAATGCTGCTTGCATGTTTAGGGCTACATTGCTTTTATAGTATTGTGTTATACAAATGTATGTTTACATTGTCAGAGAAAATATAAAATCCCATTTTATTGCAGGTGAACTCAACTCCTTTCATCATTCACAGGCCAGCCTACATCCTCTTCGATTCCCTATAATCAGCCAGATTTCAAGGCCCTGGAGTCCACTCTTTCTCCACTGTAGTCAGGGGTGGACTGACCATTTGGAAACTCGGGCACTGCCCAAGGGCCCGGGGGTCAGTAGGGGGCCCCATGAGATGCCGGTGGTATCTTTTTCATAGGCTTTTTTGAGTTTGGGCAAGGACACAGGGGCCCCATGATCCCCTATTGCCCCGGGGCCCCATGAGTTGTCAGTCCGCCCCTGACTGTAGTCCACCATCTAAAGTAATGACCAGCATATCACAGATGTTCAACTCTAGCCATGGTTTATTGCAATGATAGCACACCTCTCAGTCCCACCCAAAACCATGCCCCCAACATGTTTCACCCACAGCAGGGCTTAATCATGGGTATCACCCATAATTAACCTCCTTAGCGGTCTGATTATGTCAGTATATCTGTGCTCAAAGAGGTACATTTTTTTGCATGGAAATATGTTGTTTTTTTTTTATTGTAGGCCTGTAATTCTTAGGAATAACTCACTGAAATCTGTTCCAACAAGAGTATAGTAAATATCCCTGGTATGATAAAATTTGAAACATGAAATCATAAATTATAATATAATAAATAATCATAAAAAATAATAATAATAAATTTAATTCAATAATGTAATCAAACCAAAAACACTGAAATTTTAAATAGAGCGGCAAGTTCGCACATAACTGAGCTTAGTCGCAAAATCGTTTTCAGTGTCTGTTGACGAATTTCTCCACTAATCATTATCACTAAATTCTGCAAGTGGTTCTGATTTACTATCACTGTTCTCTAGCTGGTCTAAAACCGCTTTTGACCTAAAGGGACGCTTTTTGGATGCCATGGACTTTTCTCAGTTTCAAGGCAGAAAGAACAGTAAAAATGCAGGCAGGGCACAGGACAAAGCACTAGGGACAAAATGTATGTGAAATGGTTTGATACAGTAATGTAATACTATAAGATTTTTGTGTATTTAGTGAATGTCACATTTTAACATTTTTGAATTTCCCGCCGGCTCTGTCCCCCGTACGTCCCGACGCTCGCAGGAAACGGAACCCGGAAGACGGATGCCGGCATCGGCCGGAGGAGATGGCCGGGGATGCTGCAGGAGGGAAATCGCGGGAGCGCAGGACAAGGTAAGTGCAAGAGGGAATCCCTGGGCAACGCTGCAGGGTAATCCCGAGTGTAGCTCGGGGTTACCGCTTTTGGTACTGAAAGTTAACCCCGAGCTACACTCGGGAATACCCCAGGGGGGGGGTTAAGCCTTGCTGTGGGCGAAATATGTGTGGGCCATGAGAAGTTTGATGTCATTGTAATAAACCTTGCCTGTTTAGTTCAGTTTTTAATACCCAGTAATGAGAAACAGACAGTGTTATAGGCATTGGGATGATACATGTTGCTGCTCCATATTTAATTGCCTCTCCATATATAATTGCCTATATGTAATTGCACTCACCTCCACTCTGTTTAGTTACCAGGTGCATAGATAAGGTCTTCTTATATCCCTTTTCTACCATACTTAGGGTACACTTGTACTCTGCTACTAACAGTAAGTATAATATGTGCTCTTTCCTCCATTGATTATTAGTTAACCTAGTTGTCAGTCAGCAGGCAAGAGTACATGCTTTTTAAACAGAGGGTATGGACTTTTTTGCACTTATACCACTGCTATATATAAAAAAAAAAAACCTTGACCATGTATAAAGCAGTGCTGTGTGCTTTATACATTTAGGGCTTCACTTGATTTAGGACTCCAAAGAAAAAAAATGCTGAGAGGAGGAAAGCCAAATGATGTGACCTGACAAAATCATATGACCGGCTTCTCCTCCAATCATCATCATGCTCTCAGCAGAGTTAGGCAAAGCATTTAGATGGGAACATCAGGGTCCACTCCATGCCCTGAACTTTTTTGGATTCTACTACTTTCAAACTGATTTGTAGCAAAAACACAACAAAAACATATATGATTTTTTTTTTTTGCTGTATTTTTACCTTGTTTGAGGTGTATTTTTTACAGGACATGTGACTCAAAACCCGCACCAAAACTGCAAGGCGGGTGTGTTTTTTAATGTGTTTTGGCGCATTTTCCATTCATCTCAATGGGGAGGTGCATTTTTGGTGTATTTATTTTTACCTTCCCAAACCTGCACCAAACATGCAGCAAGTAGGATTTTATAAAATGCAGCGGACCTGCAACGGATGAGTGAGAAAAGTTCCATAGGATTGCATGGTCACACGTTTTTCTTCTGCTTTTTAAGTGCAAAACCAGAAGAAAAATGGATCAGTGTGAACGCAGCCTTACTTGTAAAGTCAAAACAATATTTATAATCTTGATATCTCTGTGCTATCCAAACCAAATGCAAGGTTAAAATACTGCAGCTCATCGCTAAGTGCTAAACAAATCCTCTAAAAATGTTCTATCATATGTAGGTTAATGGATCAGTAGTCACATAAATGTCACCCAGTTAAACTTTTATTCATCAATAAACACCAAGAAGTGATTGTGTATATAACATACATATCATATGTAAAATATGATATCTATTTATAAATTAGTTATATCGTCCATAAATGCTCCTTGTTGTCCTTGCACTCAGATATATGTGAAAATATTAAAATTCCAACTAAAACCTCCACCTTTGCTCAATTTCAAATTCACCAAAGTTGTATGACCCCACTGATATTTCAGGTCATGTGTGCTTTGTGGGAAAATGTATCCCTTACTTGGTTCAACTTCGCCTCAAAGATTGTATTGTTCACATCAAATAGTTTTTCTGTAAATACTGTATATGAAAAAATAGGTAATGCTTTAATTGTGTTATATCATTTAAAACCTATTTCATTCAAATCAAACTGACAAGCTATTAACAATTGCACTCATATTTAATGGTGCAACAGACTGCACCGATCTGAGCATTAGAATATGAAGCTCCCATGCTACTGTATGTATTACAACTGTGCTGCTCAGGGCATCTCTCACAAGCCCAGTCCTGAGCAACCACTGCAGCATCGGCTGTAGAGAACTCAGGTATGTGCCTCATCCGCTCCTACCAACGCGTTCTGTCACATAGGACTTTATCCTGAACTTTATCCAGTGATTCAGGTTAATGTGAAGAAAAAACTGAGAAAGGGATGTAGACCCACAAAGCACGTGATCTGAAATATCAGTAAGCTCATACAACATTGGTGAGTTTGAAATTGCGCACAAGTAGTGGACACTTTGGATGATGTTTGAAGATTTTTACATGTACGTGAGTGCGAAGTCTGCAAAGATTATGCTTCATGTACAGTAGAACATTTTCTAAAACACGCTAAATGCAACAAAAGCGTGTATTTAACTGCATTTACCCGTGTTTAGTTGCGTTTAGCACTTGGGCATTTATTTATTTAATTGGACAGAGTATGGCACCATATCAGCAATCACTCCGAAAATATCCTGCATGGTTTAAGAAGATGGAGATGGATTGAGTTACACTGGGAACCTTATGTTGGAGAGTGCTTGAGGCTATACCAACCCTGGTTAAATGGAAAAGCTCTATTTGACCTAAACCTTTGTAGGTCAAAAGTTGGAGGTGAGAGTATATATGTACCTTGGCAGAGGAAATACACTGTTGTGGTGATAAGAGCACTGGTTGAATTCAAGAACTGCACAATTTATTGATTGATGGAAGGATACTCATGCAGAAATAAGGACACAGCTATTCAAAAATATTGTTTTATTTAAAGAAGTGACACTAAAGCTTTGTTTTTTGTTTGTTTGTTTTTTTAAATAACAAACATGTCTATACTTTCCTGCTCTGTGCACTTATTTTGTACAGAGCAGCACCAATCCTCTTCTTTTTGGGTCCCCACAGGCACTTCTGCCCCCCCCCTTGAGCAGTGCCCCCATGCAAAGCTGCTTGCCCTGGGGGCACTGCTATGTGCTCGTCCCTGAGCTGCTGCTCTATGCATTCATAAGACACATAGAGCCGTGGCTCGGCCCTGCCTCGCACTCTCTCTTCATTGGCTCACTGTCTGTGATTGACAGCAGCAGGAGCCAATGGGCTCCCGCTGCTGTTTTAGCCAATGAGGAGGAAGAGTCTCCAGACAGCAGAGGCTGTTGAGAACATTGCTGGATCACGGAGAGGGCTCAGGTAAGGATTGGGGAGGCCGATGTACCTTCATGCATAGAATACATTAAAGTAAAAAAAACTTTGAGCCTTTAGAACCACATTAAGTATTTTATGGTTTTTAAAAAAATGTTCTATTTGATTTATGTATGATCTGTATGTATCATTTTATTAACAAACATACATATTTATTTATGACACTGAGGTATATGCCATCAGTAGAGATATAAAACCGTGCTGCACTGTGATGCTATTAGATTGTGATACAGTATATATGTGGGAACAGTATAGTACCAGCGGCCGTCTATTGTGGACAGTATGACAGGGTGATATACAATTGCGCTGAAGTATATTTGACTTTTAAACCATCAAATAACTGGGGTCATAATTGCTAACATGTGCAGTGCCATGACAACTAAAGATCAAAAAAAGCCTAAGAAAGCAGCTTCCTTGGCTGTAGGGGGTAGAGGGCGTAGTTTCACTTTAAGGGGAAAACTTCATAAAAGTGTTTGCCCTGGCATAGGGTACACATCAGAATTGTCTGGTTCATAAGGGTCTTCACTTGGTTTGTACAACAGATTTAACAGTAATGCACTTTGCACAATTATTTCACAATAATTGTTTAATTATTGCTTAATGTTGTTTAATGAGCCTTTCAGGGGTTCAACTATAGCGGACAATGGATTTCTGGTGCCCGCTCTTTATTATGCTTCTGAGTATCATGGCCTGCCATGAAATCTTTTCCATTTTGTGACCACATCTCTTCAGCATGTCACAGCCAGGAAAGTTTAAGGTACACCATAGACAATGCGATTTTTGGGTTGCAGGAAAGAAAATTGCTTGATTCCTCTATCAACACAGTCAATATTAATGGGGGAATCCCTTCCGCGGAGTTATTGCATTCTCCCGGCAGGCCTGGGAGAGGGGTTTGGAGGAGAGCTATAAAAATATAGAAATATATTAGCTATATAAAAGTTATTATACAAGAGGAGCTTCTTTCACTTGGTTCTGTATGATCTTTACTGTCCGTCAGTATTATTTAGGAGCTGGAGTAGGCGTGGTGTCAGATTCTGGACTGAATACTAGCTGAATTCTCATTGCAAGCAAAGTAGGTATGCATGTTAATTGTCTGTTTACAGTGGCTTCTGCACTCCCCATGAGTCGTACAGCCACTCAGACAGTATTATAAAGTGAAGAGGTTGAGCACAGGTCCAAAATGTTGGTATTGGGTCCTGGGCTACTTAGGTATTAGCTGCTCTACCATTTAAGAAAAATACATGTTAAATGGCTAAATTTTCATTTTAAAATGATATCCAACCTTTCCTTCAGAGTCCTTTTTTTAAACATCCCAAAAGCCACTAGATTATGATTAATGAGTGTACATTATGCATCCCACAATGGTGACAAGGGGTTAACCAGTCTGCACTATTTCATTTGTATTATTTTTTTCTCCCAAAATGGCTGCTTTTGTCTGTGTGCACATGCCAGCAGCAAATGTCCTTCTGTTTTTGAACAGGCAATTTGATATGCCAAGTATTCGTATGCTAATGGTGGTGCAGTTTTCTTCTTTTTTTCAAATAAATGGTAAAGATTGCTGCAGACAGTAAAACACAGAAGTGAGGAGCTTTTATTTTGGAGGCGATAAATTACTTCCCATTCAAATACAATATGACACATGCTGCTGACCATTTTGTTTCTCTACTAAAATCCTCTGTGCTTTGTAAGGAGAAATTTGCCATGAATATGCTGTCTTCCAACAATTTATAATAAGAAAACCTCACATTTAGATGATAAATTGAGTTAAATTAAATGCATAAATGGAGGTAGAATATAAACCACAATAAAATGCTTAAAGCATATCTAAACCCAAGAACAAAAATTTAACAATTTACCGTAACAATCCTTAGATCTGGGGCTGAATTCATTTTCTCTTTTCAAGCTTTTTTCCCCATTATTTTCCTCTGGCAATCCTGCCAGTAATACACTTCTTGTCCTCAGGTGATAAC